CTACATGACAAGCTGAAATAGCTGCTAAATACACCTTAATGGTGGAGAAAGCCTTCCCCTTATCTAGAAGATCTTGGAGAAAGCATAAAATATCCCCCACTGAGCATTGAAAAGGGATAATATGAGTCTGTTCACACCATCTTTCAAAGACTCGCCATTTATTGCTATAAAGTGAGCGAGTAGAGGAGGCTCTAGCACTCTGTATAGTATGTATGACTGATGGGGGCAGACCTGCTGCATTCAAATTCCACCTCTCACGGGCCAAGCCCAGAGAGCTATCCTGTCTGTGTGAGGGTGGTAAATTTCTCCCCCCGCCTGAGACAGTAGATCCCTCCGTGGAGGGAGGGGCCACGGCTGGCCCGACAGCAGTTGAACTATCTTGGCCACCCAATGCCTGGATGGCCAACGTGGAGCTATCAGTATTAATGACAGACCCCGTTCCCTCACTCTGGCTAGCGTGGGGGAAATTAAGCTCAGAGGAGGGAATGCGTAAAGAAGGACGACTGGCCATGGGTGGGCTAGAGCATCCACACCCAGTGGTGCATTTTCGCTCCCCAGCCCTTTAAGGACGCGTCCGTTGTCATGGTGACTCTCGATGACACCGCCCCCAAGGGAATCCCCGTTCTGAGAACCGCAGGGACTTTTCCAATTCCTGAGCGCTCTGATGCACTCGTGAGTGATTCTCACCGGCCGGCTGAGATGCCGCCGAGAGCACAGGCATAACTGCGCGATCCAGCGCTGAAAATCCCTCATTTTGAGCAGACCCAGATGTACTACTGAAATCACAGAAGCCATTAAACCCAGCATTCGTAAGCACAGTCTGTACGGAACTACATTCCCCATCTTCAAGCGGGCGATGCATTGTGTGAAAGACGCGACTCCCCTCTGTCAGTTTGACACGATAAGAGAGGGAGTCTATGCTGAGCCCCAAATATTCTGTTTGTTGTGAGGGCTCCAAGCTGCTTTTTATCATGTTTATCCTGAACCCCAAGCTGCTGAGATGATTTAACACCATCTCTGCGTCTTTCACTGCTTGCTCTCTCGACGACGAGCATATCAGATAATCGTCTATGTAGGACAATATTCTTATTCCCTCGTTCCTTAACGGGAACAGGGCAGCGTCCACACACTTGGTAAAAACCCTCGGAGCTAAAGCTAGCTCGAATGCAATAGTTTGAAACTCGTATGCTGTGCCTCGGTATGCAAATCTGAGGAATTTCCTGTAAGAGGGGTAAATGTCTATGTGAAAATAAGCGTCTGACAGATCAATTGTCACAAACCAGACTCGTCACAACACGATTAGAACAGCTCGCCTTGACGCGGATACTATCTAATGTTAATGATGTCACTCAACACAATCCAGTACAACTGACCTCGCGTTCGGTGACGGATTCCAATGACGGCCCGTCTGTTGAACTGTTTAGCGAAATCAGCAAAGTCAGGATGTGCTGAGAGAGCTTGCTGCAGTCCCCCACAGGAAGAAAGCGCGAATGATTTTGGCAGGGGTCGACCTGACTGATATAGGTGCGGCGGAGCCTGGTCACAGGTCGACCTGTCTGTCAAAGACAGACGTAGTGTCATAGGAGCTTCCGCAGTTGGTCACGCCCAAAGCGATTCCCATAGTGAAACACCGAGCAAAGTTAGAAAAAGAACACACAAGTGTTTTCGTCCCGAGTAGCGCGAGTGCAAAAGTGATTTCAGGAGTGATTTCATACAGCAGTTAAGTAAATAAGTTAACAATAAGTTAATATTGTTTTATATTTTAAACCCAATATTGTCTGTTTTTGCTCAGTTTGCCAAGCAAATATTACCTATTAAAACCACATCACAATTAAGTGTTGTGTGTCTTCCTCCAAGCACAAAAAACACAATTTCTGAATGAATCCGCATTTTGAACGAGTGGGGTGAACCAATTCAATTACCCATTCATAAAGATTTACTTAATTCCTGAATGAATTAGCCGTTTAAACGAAACGAATGAATGAATAAATGACTTAATGACTTATTACGATGTTTTACTGCCACCTACCGGCAGTTTTAGCTACTTTTTTTGAGTATAATTTTCAGAGTATAATTTAAGGATTGACAGCCACGCTAGTCTTCGGTGACATTAATAATAGGATGTATAATACTACAATTTAAGCAGGATGTCCTATCAGTAGCCAACATCTCAGAGAATTGGTAGTCTTTGCATCACAGCTTCACTCATCACAGAGTTTGATGAAGCACCTCAGTGGGTGACGGATGGGCCTCTGTGTTCAGTTTCCCGCGGGATCGCTGTCTTGGATGGTGATGTTGAGTGGTGTCCCTCCACACCACATCTATGGGAAGGAATCACAGCGTCAGGTGGTGTGACGCTCTCACTCACCCTTGCTCAGCTGAGTCACTCTTACCATAGCGAATCCTTGCTTTATATCTCTCATTGACTGTGAAGATCAATAGTGAAGCTTCGCTCAGTGGGTGACGGTTGGGGTCCAATTCAGCTTCTCGCATGAGGCTGACACCTGTTTGGGAGGTGTTGTGCTGAACTTGGTGGAGCTAGAAGGAGGCCAACACCTCCTGTGCTGTGCTGCATGAGAAATAACAACAACAATAATATATTTGCAAATAAGCTGTGATGCAGTGACTACCAATGGGAGAAAAGAAAGTGGTCTGCCACCTGATACAGCCGGATATGGAAGAAGACAAATAAGATCGAATAAAGAAAAAGAATAATAGATCAAACTAAAATAATAATCAATAACTTAATCGTAGTAGTAGTAAATAGTACATGTGTCAGGGTTCTGGCTTGGCAGCTTTGTCTGTGTTGTCTTTGTTTAATGTTTCTTTGTTTGTCTTGTGTCTTAACACATTGCTTTATCTTTGTTTGTGTCTGCTATGTGTTCCTTTGGTCCCACCTCCTTGCTTCCCTTGGTCACACCCTCTTGTTTAACCCTTGTCTTGTTCTCGTTTCTTTAATTGTGCTCACCTGGCCCTCATGTACTTTCCTCCCTTTATATTGTGCTGTTCTTTCCTCTTGTGTTATATAAGTATAAGTGATTGCTGGAGACTCAGAGGTGAGTATAAGTGATTGCTGGAGACTCAGAGGTGAGTATAGGACATCACTGGAGACTCAGAGGTGAGTATAGGAGATCGCTGGAGACTCAGAGGTGAGTATAAGTGATTGCTGGAGACTCAGAGGTGAGTATAAGTGATTGCTGGAGACTCAGAGGTGAGTATAGGACATCGCTGGAGACTCAGAGGTGAGTATAAGTGATTGCTGGAGACTCAGAGGTGAGTATAGGACATCGCTGGAGACTCAGAGGTGAGTATAAGTGATTGCTGGAGACTCAGAGGTGAGTATAGGACATCGCTGGAGACTCAGAGGTGAGTATAAGTGATTGCTGGAGACTCAGAGGTGAGTATAGGAGATTGCTGGAGACTCAGAGGTGAGTATAGGACATCACTGGAGACTCAGAGGTGAGTATAGGA